ATTGCTTCTTTTCTACTGGTAGGAGGCCAGTGAGAGCTCTCAGCCTGGCTGGCTTGCCCCTGCAATGACCCACAGTAACTTTGCGGCAGTACACAACTTTGTGCCAGAAAAAAATGTTAGCACATTTTACCCTGCATTAGAGGGGCTTTAGTGGGACAGTGGACTTGTACATCCATAGGATTCTGGGACAAAAGGCTTTCTCTGGGACAAATCTGACATCAATTTACAGCCATTACCTATTTGTACAGCCCCTGACCCAGTAAGGCCTTCTTAAATGGAGCACATAGATGTTCACATAATGAAAAGTTACAAGTCATGGAATTAGAAATGTTCCCTGTGCTTTGCAACCCCTATCCCCTTTCTCCCCACAAAACCAAATCCAAAACCAAAACATAATAAAAGCACCATGCAGGTTACTTTTCTGATCATAACTTCTATTTAGACCTTCTTTTACCCAAAGGAATTCCAGGGCACTTCACAGCTTTTTTATATACAGACCAGTGTTGCCAGGTGTACAGTAATTATTGCATTTAGATGATAATGTCAACCTTTGTATAATGTTTGATCAATAATAGTAAAAGTATTCAAGATGTATGATAATTTTTAAGGCAGCTAATTGATGCAGCACATGCAAAGCCCAAGTCATTCTCAGGGAGTCTTAACTGAGTTTTGTTTTTGCTTTCTTATGACTGACTGCCTCAAAATAAAAAAAAAATGTTTCAACTTAGATGACTCAGTTCTCACTCACTCACTGGCGATTTACAATGAGAAATATAGAGTAAATAAGAAGACTTATTTGCATACTTTTCAAGGTACGATAGTTTTTCAGCAACTATGATCATTTTGAGCTTCCAATATGATAATTTCATATTTAAGACTGGCAATGCTGATACAGACCATAGGAATCCCTCACTCACCGCTAAGATGTTGTCTGTGCTGGAGTAAGTCACTGAAATAGTAACAGCGTACAATATTTTCAGGCTGAGATCTAAGACTAATTTCTCCACCATAAAACAAGGGAAATTTCAGGAGGCAGAACCTGCTCAAAAATAGATCACGGCCAGAATGGCAGGGTGAATACTCCAGCTCTAATAGAAAGCCCGTGAGATATCAACACTGAGGATCTGAGTTTTACATCTTATTGGAATAGCAGGACATCTAGCAGCACAATACCTCCTCCTGTGTACTCCTTAATACATGAACTTTTCTAACGTATGTGAATACAAGCATGATAATAATAAAAGTTCATTTGGCATCATGAAACAACTGTGAATAGCTTATAGGCACTGAGCAACACAATGGGTGTTTGACTCTATGGTGCATAGAGTGAATTCCTGACAGCTAACTCCTTGGAGCACACTTTCAAAAGCCAGACTCCTGGCTATACTACTCATATTGTAAGCTCCTTAGGGCAGGGACTGTTACCCCTTGTGTATTGTATTTCTACAGTGACCAAGCACTGGAGATTCTGATCCCACAATTGCTCCTAATAAAAAGTGGAATTATTATTTCTTTTCGTTGTCACACAGCAACTAGCTTGTGCTTTTTTTTTTCTAGTGAGCTTATTGATTAGATCCACTCTTAGCTACTCACCCCCAAAAAGAACTTCCTTCAAGGAAAAAGGACAAAACACAACAGTGTTTTCTTTTCTGGTTTCTTTCTATTTGAATTGTACTTCCACAACAATTACCCCTCAAGAAGTTTCTGTTTTCCCAAAGAGACATTCACTCAACAATATTTTGAAAGCTTGGTTAAAGATGAGTCAAGTTCTCAGACGGAAGCTCAATTCAAAGACAGGGATTCTTCACTAAAGAGACAGTAGGGCCCTTTCTGAACAAAGCATTTACTATTCCAAGGTGGAATCTTTTTTTCTGAAGTGAGCCTGACCTTGCAGCATTTAAACTTAGCCTGGTTCCCCAATTTCTAAAATAACGTATTCACAAGAAGGGTGACAGCCTCTCAGAAACACTAACACTGGAGGCTGCACTATGCAGAACAGAGCAAGACTGCAGGAGGAGAAAAACAGCTGGTTTAAACAGGGAGGTTCGCCAAGTACCCCCACATGATTTGTACTCAGTTCTTATTGCCTTAGTACACCCAGAACTGGGTAGTTTGGGGATGATAATTTTTACTTAATCCACAGTAAGGATGCTTATTAATGTCTTCAAGCAAAAAGTGCTGTATACATAAGGTGTTATTTTCAGTACTGATCAGGGGGGTTGGCTATATTTTTTCCTATAAATCCTGAAAAAGAAACACAGATTAGAGGTAACACTTCGCCAAGAGCTGAAAGATGTAGAATCCCTAAGCCATCTGGTTTATGTTATCTATGAGCATTCAGCTAGTGGAATCTGCCATAGTTAGACAAGAGTGGTAGCACTTTACTTCCAGGAATAGCTGCAGGGGTCAGTCAGTAAACACATCTACTGTAAAACTCCATTAGCACATACATTATCCCCTTCCAAGAGGAACAGAGCCAGTTCTTTTCAAAAGGAGCTTTTGAATTGTAAAAGACTAATAATTTTACCAATACCACCCACTAATCTGCCTGTCCTTCAGTCTCTGAGCCTCACTCTGTCAAGTCTTTAACAAGCTGATACTCTGTGGATTGGCTATTTTTGCCTTTCACAGATCTGTACCGTAAAAATGACAATTTTTGTTGCTTCTTACTTTGGCTTTAGTTAGTCTCCCTCCTGGTAATAGGAATTAGCCCTCTCTCACGATATAATCACACTTATTTCATATTAGATATCAGCTTTACTCCTGAAGCACTGCAAAGCACTTTACATAAACTGATATACAGGTCATACACAGGGCTTACTTCTTCCATCACCAAAATGCAACCTCCCAGGATTAAGCCTGGTAGTGACTACTAAATCCACCAGAACAAAACAAAAGGTTTTAAAACATAAAAAATGAAGTAAGGGGGCAATTTCTCTAGTTTAAGACCGCATCCAAACATTCAGTTTTTCCTGGGAGATGTATACAAATTTCAAGTTTTTTCTTCCAGAGCAAGAGGGCCATTCCAGGGGGAAAATAACCTGAGAACAACTAAGGTTAAATCACTCCTGGGAGAGTTTCTCCTGGGAGAGTGAATGTCCATACAACTTACCCTTCTGAGAGAAGCTGTAGTACAGACCTCCAGCATCTCAGGAGGCTTTGGTCCTCCCCTTCTCGGTCTCCTCCTTACCACCCCAAGACAGTGTGTCACTTGGGTTGGACTCTACTACATTATTGCCTCCTTGCAATGTTCAGAATCAATGGGACCCTAAGGCATAATCTAGACCCTCTCCCAATAAGTCTCCTATGCTAGGTACAAAGGAGAACTTTATTGGTTACAAGGAGTAGGTTTGGAATAGAGTACAGGATAGAGCAATATCAGAGAAATCCCTTAGAGCAAAGTGGCATGGTAGCCTTTGATCATGCATCTGAGTTACTGCAAGCTACATATCTAGTTAGATCTCAGGTAGCTTACTCATGAGTATCATCCAGAGGCAGGTGGAGATTCCCTCTGGAGGCAGGCGGTTCATTGATTATGAGTTTCAAGAGAGAGAGCAAGTTTCAGATGGTTCAGCTTCTCTCTGAGAGTTTCCATCATGTCTACTGCCCCTCCTCCTGGGCAGTCCTCAACTTATATAGCCCTTATGACCTCATTTACCTGGTCCAATGAAGGCCAGCAACTGTTGGCTGCCAGCCAACGAATTTGAAATGCATCACTGGTTGCCAGGTAGACTGGCATTGCTCAGAACAATAGGGAGCCCAAGCCCCTCACCCAGGTATGTGATTCCAGTCACATAGGCAGAGGGAACAGGTTACCCCCCTTCCTCAGGAATGTATCCAGCTCAGGTTACAACTCAGGGTCACATGAAGAGATGGGGCACAGGAGTGACCATGGTAACTAAATTGTCAGGTAGCAGAGTTTTGGAGAGAGACAAGGATGGTATTCCACCACAAGTTGTGTGAATAAAAGCACCTAGAACAAAGATACAAATGAAAGTAGATTCCATTGAGATTATACTGGGGTTCTGGTTATGTTGTATCAGACACTAGAATTACCAGTTTTGGCATCTACGATATAAATAGGAATGGTGCCAATAATTTTCCTGCTTACATTAATACAATCCAGGAGTTAATCCTTGGAAGTTCAAAAAGATACAGTAGATAAAAACTGGCACAAGGGGAAATAAATCAAGATGTCCAAAGATTTTTATAGCCTTTTGTCATAGTGAAATGAACTTAATACTAAAAAAAAGTCCTATTCTACTTATACTACACTCACTGTCACAGCATCTGAACAACTCCCAGCAGTGTGCTAAGCAGTGGAGCTGACATCTGTCATGTGGTGCTTGCTCTCCTTTCCTCTTTCTAGGGGAAGAAGCATATTCAACAATGCCTTTTGATAAGGTTCTGCTTTATTTCCTAATATCCCTGTTAGGGAAGGCAAGGTCCAAGGAATGCGCTCAACACACTGCTTCAGGAAATGGAGCCATGGGGCTAGCTACAAAACAAACAGTGCAGGGGTACTTGGACAAAGATCCTCATAGCACCCAACCAATGTGTTTCAAGACCCAGAAGGATCATCTGTAACTTGGACATTCCAGTGGAAAACGGTGGACAGTTACAACTTGTGTAACGCTGGTGTAGGAACGAGGCCCTTGGGATAAAGGCTCTCCAGAAGCCTTCATATCTACCTCAGAAACCTGAAGCATCTCTATTTAGAGTCAGCTCAGAGGGCTGTGTTCCTAAAATGGGCACTGTCTATTGCAAATGAGCCCCAACCCATCAATTTATTCAATGTAATCAAACAGTAATGACCTTCAGTTACTGCTCTCCTGCTCTTGACTTCCGCCCATGACCTGAAGACCAAAACTGGTTTCCATCCTCAGTCCCCTGAGCCAACCAGCCACCTTTAATCCTTCTGCCTTTCACTTTGTACTTCACAGTTTTAAAAAGCAAACTTGTATAGAAATATTACATACTTTGAAGAGCTCCACAATAACCATTGTCTGGTCTATATATAAGCTATTTCAATCTTTCTTTTGTGTGTGTGTGTGTGTGTGTGTGTTGCTTCTTGTAACAATACCTTGGTGACAAGAGATTTCTATGAAGTGGATGTCCTATAAACACACGTAAAGATATTTTTATTGCTGAAAATGAGAAATGTATTATTGATATGGTCATTAATTATATATTTTGGATTCATATTCGAGTTTTGATGGATGGCACAATATGTAAAGATATATAACCACCATCACACTGTACAATCCCTTTTTATTATACATGGTGCCCATTTTCTTTTGGCATGAATATTTTATTCTGAATCTGTATTTCACCTTCTTATTTGGCAGTTTCCCCAGAAGCTTCCCATTTGTTCCCCTCCTCCCACTCAGTATTTAGACAGAAGGTAAGAGGCCTTCCCACTGATATAATCTACAGTCCTATTCCTAAATTAGAACAAAATACAAAGCAAACATCTCAAACAATTAAAATGCACGCAAGTAAAATCTCTGCAATTTTGGACTTGCTTCATATGTTCTTAATATTATTTCCCAAGACCATTCACTTCTAACTATACATCACAGATTATGGGCAGCTTTTTTTGATGCCTTGTAGAAGTACTGCCAATCCAGCTGCTATTTATTTTGGAAATCCAGTGCACAGCAAGTTGCCTTGTTGGGTTCTTTTTTAATAAATTTTTTCAATGTGTATTTTTTAATTATTTGTTGGCTACTTGAAAGTTTGAGGAGGGGGAGCAAAAAAATAAAATGAATAAATAAAAATAAATCACAGTTCCAAATTCTTGGCTACTGTAAACTAATAAAGACCAAATCTGAGTGTATAAAATATATTAAGGGTGTGCCATTTTAAGAGAAAATGAGCCAAGTGTGCTTTGAAAAATCAGGTCTCTTTAGGGAGTTCCAGAAAGGATACCACAAATTTGAGGTACTTAGATTCTGAAAAGTGTAAGAAATCTTGTATTAGAAATGGTTATCACACATAGAATATCCCACCACATATTTCTGCTTCTGTTTTCAGTGTGAACTCATGTACACAGTATACCTTTTTTTTAAGACTCTCGTGGGAAGCCAGGCAAGACCTGAGGAGGTGGCTGGAAGGTTGAAAGGCAGAGAAAAAGTAGTTTTAGTCATCCTATAGTTTTCCTTGCCCTAACAAACATTTTTTTGTTCAGTGCTAAAAAAAGTGCTCCCTTGTGATTTTCCACCCTCTTCCCTGGAAACTCCTGAATGTCATCATAAGGAAGTTGTCTTTGGAATAAGCTACAAACCCGAAGTCCTATCATGGTCATTAAAGATCCCGAGGTGATTTTCTTTTTGCTTATTCCGTATGAAATGTGGAACGTGAAAATGTGGTTAATTTTTTTCCCTGTCAAAGCATGACAACACTTCTCCCCCAGGTGAAAAGCTGGATAGACAATGTGACAATATAGACAGATAAAGGGCACAAGTTCATATCTCAATGGTGAGAAATATTCTGTGCTAAGTTAAAAAGTAACAAACATGTAATTTTGAGAACTTGATCAGCGGCCTAATTTGAGGGACAACTGTTATAGTTGAGACCCAGTAGTAAGAGTGCTAGTCTTGGACTTGGAAGATCTGGTTTTAATTCCCCCAGAATTCCAGTGTGAACTTGAGAAGTCACTTAGTTCCAGATTCTTCAAGGTATTTAAACACCTATTTAGACTCCTATTTAGGTGCTCAAATACTTTGAAAGATCTGGGCATTTGTCTGTGCCTCACTGCTCCATCTGTAAAATTGGAATACTGCTCAAACACCACAGTGATATGGGCAAGGAAAGTGTCTAAAGCAGAAGACTATTTTGTGAGTAGCTCTAGAGATGAGTTATTTGTGGGTGGCCTGCCATGGCAACATTGGGAAAATATAACATATTACACCCCTACTCCCAATTTTGTATTTAATTTCTCTAGTTTTAACTACATTTTTTAACAGGAGCAAATTTTAATTTAATGGAACTGAGAAAATAGAATTTTTATTATCTTTTATGCTTGCTTCCTTTGGAATATAGATACTAAAATTCCCTTTTTAGAGACTGAAGACACAACTTTGTTATTAAAATATATGTGCATCATGGCCCTTACAAATCTCTATTAAACCAGAGATTAGGCAAGGAGTGGAACAGATAGACAGTATATTTTCATTCAATCTCTTTTAAAATAATGATGCATGCAACTTCATGTCATTACTTTTTAATGGTCTTAAGCCTATTTAATAGCACAGTAATATTCTAGAAAGGAACAGGGAATTACTTCCACATTTAATTTTCATTGCAAAAGTGAATGTGGTCCCTTCTATGCCAGATAAGCAGCTAAAGCTGCTTGGTACCTTAACCGGGATATGACTGCATTAGCTCTGCTACATTACAGCAAAGCTAATGAAACAAAGCAAAGTGATTCGTTTCAGGCTCCTTAAGGCATTGCAAAGTAATGTTCGGCTTGCTTCCAGGTTACAGTGTCAGCAGACACTGTGCCTCGCTGTGCATAAGGTTTGGCTTATGTGAATGGGCTGATTGCTCATCCCGTTTACAGGCAGCACAAACTTAAGACTTAAGACTCATTTGTGGTTCTGGCACAAGCCCCAGTGAAGAGCAGCACAGGACCAGGTCAGGGACCAAATGGAAAGTCAATCTGGTCCCTGGTTTCTCTCTCGGTCTGGGGTGGAAGTGAGCAATACATGTACTATCTCAACACTTATCAGTAAATGGGGACACAGGGGCTCCAGTGTTCTGGCTGGCACACTAAGGAAGTGGAGCCCAGTCTCTACACAGTCCTTTATTCTGCTTCCCCAGCCTGCAGAGGAAGAGAAGCAACAGACACAGAGGATGCATCTACACACAATACTGTACTGTGGAGTTTAATAATTAGCTCTGCAGTAAAGCATCACTGTCTATACATGCAGCACTATTAGACTGTAAACTAATTAACTCAACTGTAGGATAGTACTGCCTGACACAACTGCAGTGGAATAGTTACATTCAGCGAAATGCACATGTAGATGGTGACTGGGGCTGGCTAGAGCATGAGCGTGCTTCAGTGCAGGGGCTGCATGCTGACTAGCCCCACACCGCAGCACCCTCATGTCCCAGCCTTCGCCTCTGCAGCACACTGAGCAGCTCTGGGCTGGCAGGCTGACTTCCTGGATTCACTGCCTACCAGGGCTGTGCTGCCCTGGCTCAATGTTCTGTGGTCCCAGGTGCATGTGTAAACGCTATGCCCAGGAGCAATAAGCTTTGGTAAAAACTGCCAGAGTTTATTGTGTTGCATTAATGTGACATGTAGATATGTCCAGAGAATCTACTTTCCTTTCTATATGGTAACCTATTATATAGGTACCGAACACCCCATGTGCATCTAGGCACAGACCCAGAAGGGTGCAGTGATACAGTCACATCCCACGTTGATTCCTTTATGTCAAACCCCCCAGTTTTTCTTTTTTTTAAATTTTGAAATGCATTCCCTCCCTTCCCAAACTATTTCTGACTTTTTCTCTCCCTCTCTATTCCCTATAGATAAGTATGAGTAAGTTAAGACATAGGATAAGCTTTAGCATTTTGTAGCAAGTTTTTTTCTTTTCTTTCTCCTTCTTTGATCCACTGTTTTATATTGTATAATTATTATGTTTACATTGATGTTTACTGTGTGATTAGTGCTTTACTGATTTTTACTTTTTTTTTAATTTATAGTATATGATTTAGACCTACATGTATAATTTAGCATAAGTAACGTCCAGTAATGTCAAGTTTCCATTTTGAATGTCAAGCCTCTATCTTGTGTCCTCTGACTCATATCTAACCATGTAAATTGGTTCCTGAATGAATGGAGATGAATGAGGGTGCTTGAGATACAATGGTAACAGGCCTCTACTGAATAATCAACTCAACGACTGGACCATCAGCTCAACAACCGGACCATCTCCTTCCATTGACTCACCCAGGAACCATGGACCCAGCATTTGAAAGACAAAGACCCACTATTGCAACACAGATACCTGAAACTGCAAGTTCTTGGCTGGAGTGCACATGCTCAGTACACCAGGGCTGACCCTTGCCTGGGCATGCCCCTGCCACTAGGGTCATAAAAGGTCTGCCCCTATAAAAAGGGGTAGTGATGACAGACCCAGTGAGATGCCCTCTCCACCTGGACCAGCACCATGCCACACCACCTATCCACCCAGAGACTCTGCTGGTGACCCTCTCTGGAAACCACCTTACTGGAGAAGACCCTGACTGACCATCGAGGATCAACTCACAGCCCAGGATAGGTAGCTATCACCCACATTCCTTCCCCAAACACAGGATCTGGACTCTGTCCCTGTACACTTTAACTTCAGTCTCTCCACCAAGCCATTCTCCTCCCCTGCTACCATTTGGGTGTGCGTGCGTGTGTATAGGAACCAATAACTTCATGGGGCTGTGTAATCTGTTGTCTGCTTAATAAACCTCTTATTTTGAAACCCCGAGTTGGGCTTTTGTCTTACTGACCTCCTGACCCTTCTCCTTCATTTCCTGGCTATCTCCCAGCCTTCTGCCTCCCTGTTTCCTGGCCCAATGTCCCAGCTTTCTGCCTCAGTTTCCTGGCTGTCTCCTTCTTGCCACCAGGCTTTTCCCCTTACTTCCACCCTGGCACCAGGTGACCCTGTGCAACCCTGGGGCACATTAACCTTAAGTAACCCCAAGCCCCAGTGACCCTGAGTAACCTCGGGGCACTTGACCTTAAGTAACCCCAGTTTCCCCTCCAGTCTGCCAATTCTAATCCTGGCCCCAGCAACTTTCACTCCTGGCACTTTCATTCTCTTATTTTTCCCTCTCTCATCTTAACCCCCATCCATCTCCCTCCTTCCCCTCCTTCTGGAAATCTTTGACCCTTGATTCCCCCTCCCATAATCACCAAGCACCCCAGGTACCCCAAGCACACACATATATACCATACCACCCAAGTTAGGGACTCACCTGTGTGTATGTGTAGGTAGGTGGTGTGTGTGTGAACTGGCAAATACACACACACACACACATATTGTGTGCGAGATATACAAACTAGTGATCCATGTATGTGTATTGGGTGTGTGGGTATTAACAACTGATTTTTGTCTAATTTTCAATGTGTATAGTGTGTATGTGCTTGAACTGGTAATAGGTGTACATGCACTTAGACTGGTAATCTTGGATGTGTATGTGCCTGAGTTGGTAGTGTATGTGTATATGCCTAGTGTGTATGCACCTAATAGATTTTTGTGTGTGTATATATGCAATTGTGTCATACCCTCCCATCTAACATTGCAATTTTGAGATGCTGAGAGTTGGCCTGGCCCTACAGGAAAACACTTCTTCCTAATAGTGCAGTGGAGCAGAGCAGGGCAAGATGCTGCTGTGAAAGGAGGTGTCAGTGCCAGGAGGCAGGCTAATCTTTCCTTGGCTCTGTGGCTGACATAAAATTAAGAGCTTTTGATCTTTGCTTATCATATAAAAATGTGGCAGGTCCACAGCCAGAGAAGAGTTAACCTGGCTCTTGGCAGTAGCAGCTCCTCTCTCAGTAGGGTCCTGCCTCCAGTCCTAGATCTGTAGGTATGTGCATCCACAGCCAGGTTCCAGTCCCCTTTGCCCTTCCGCTCTAGTTGAAATTTATTAGATTCACGTGCAGGAGTGGCTCACTGTTAATTATTCCCCAATTTAACACAAGAATTGGGCATTAGTAGCTAAAGCACAGAACCTCACATTCCTACACTGGGTCTCCAATCTGAGCTGTGTTAGCTACACTGAATGCATTTGCACTAAAGAGAATAAATAATTAAAATATGCACCAGCTATTTGTTACCTAACCCCTTTTTGTGTAAGGTCACACTTTATTACAAGTACATTTCATGCTATTTTTCCAGGCACGTAAAACACAGAATATACACCATCTCATCCAGAGGATATTACTAGTGTCACTTTTGCTGGGGTCATATGTCTCAAAGCACAGAAAATAATATTAAGAGGAAGCCCTAATTTATGAATAAAGACGAGATATCAGGATGCACACACAAACACAGAAAAAATAGGTTAGAAAAATACTGAACTAGTCTTTGGGTCTATGACCATCTACAGAAGTTGAAGATCTGCTCAGATGGGGGCCTTTAAGGATGCATCAGTTTATATGGGTAATTCTCCTTTCTTGTTTTCTCTTCTTACCCATTCAACCTCTGATCTGACTTCCCAACATGCTCACCCCATCTCATAATAAAATAGTTTTTTTTCCTTTCTGCCCCAACCACATTTCTTAAATAAATGCAGGAGAGGTGTGACATGTATAAGCACCCTTCATGTAAAATCTAAGATTAGCTGGACCTAGGGGTTTCAAGTTGCATCTCTTTCATTTTTGGTTGCTCTACAAGCTCCTGTACCTCTATCACATCATAGCACCAGCACGCGTAGCAGCAAAAGCAAAACTTAAATGCCCTAGCAAGTCTGGAGACCATTTAGATGTTGGTTTAATTCAGCAAGCTAAGAATAGGGTCCAGTTTCAAAGCATGGATTTGGAACTGTGTTTAGATTTCAATCACTCCCAAAGTTAAGTGATATTCAACAACCAGTGTCTTGGTTCTATGTCCTCCAACGGTCTCAGCTTGGAGTGCTGGCACACCCCCATGGAGTTGTGCTTAGTTCACTGGGAAGTGGAGTGCACCTTTCCCTTTTTTTAATTTAGTCTTATGAATGTAGGCAAAAAACTTGAAAGAGGCTAAATTCTGAAGTAAATCTTGGCCCTGATGCAATGGAGCATTAGGCTCCTGCTAACTTTTTAGTGTCGGTATAGACCAGATGACTTCACACTGAGCACATGTATCAGTATTTTGTGGCATCAAGTCCTGAATGCTCTGTAATTTGCAAGAATAAGTACTAACCTAGTTATGGCTTCCTCAACCACATTATATTACAGGAAAAGGTCGCAAAATCCTTAGACGCAGGTGTCGGGGTGGACATAGTCTTTCTGGACTTTAGGAAGGCCTTCAGCACTGTCACTTACCCCATTCTCATTAAAAAATTAGGTGACTGTGGTGTCAATGCCTACACAGTCAGCAAATTGGCTGGCAGGCTGCATCCAGAGAGTGGTGATGGGCGGGTCTTTTTCGACCTGGAGGGATGTGGGCAGTGGGGTTCCCCAGGGCTTGGTCCTCAGGCCCGCATTGTTTAACACCTTCTTCAGCAACTTGGACGAGGGGGTGAAAAGCACCCTGTTCAAATTTGCAGATGACACTAAGATGTTTGGAGAGGTGGGCATGATAGAAGTGAGGGACAGGCTACAACTAGATCTGGACAGGTTACAGGGGTGGGCGGATGGTAATAGAATGGGATTCAATACTGACAAGGGCAAGGTACTGCACCTAGGGAGAAAGAACCAGCAGCATACCTACAGGCTGGGGAACTCCCTTCTCATTAGCACAGAGGCAGAAAAGGATCTTGGAGTCATCATTGATTCCAAGATGAACATGGGCCGCCAATGTGAGGACGCAGTCAGGAAAGCTAACCGCACCTTGTCATGCATCCACAGATGCATCACGAGCACGTCCAAGGAGGTGATCCTCCTCCTCTATGCGACACTGGTCAGGCCGCAGTTGGAGTACTGCATCCAGTTCTGGGCGCCACACCAGGAGGGATACGGCCAGCATTGAGTGGGTCCAGAGGAGGGCCACCCGCATGATCAGGGGTCAGCAGGGCAGGCTCTACAAGGAGAGGCTATGGGACTTGAACCTGTTCAGCCTCCACAAGAGAAAACTGAGAGGGGATCTGGTGGCTGTCTATAAACTTACCGGGGGGACCAGTGGGGAATGGGAGAGTCCCTGTTCCTCCGAGCAGTACCTGGAGTAACTAGGAATAAAGGCCACAAGTTGACTGAGAGTAGGTTCAGGCTAGACATAAGGAAGTGCTACTTCACAGTCAGGGCGGCTAGGATCTGGAACCAACTTCCAAAGGAAGTGGTGCTCACTTCTACCCTGGGGGACTTCAAAAGGAAGCTAGATAATCACCAAGTCGGAAGCAGGGGGTCAGACTCGATGATCTGCTCAGGTCCCTTCCAACCCTACCAAATATGAAATTATGAAACTATGAAAAGCTGGGTACATCTACACGAGATGCTAAAAGCATAGTAAACCAATTCTACTGTGCATTAGTGCATCACAATGAAAGCTGTGCTAATGCACTAATATACAGTAGAATTAGCTTACTGCACATTAGTGTCACTTAGAAGACATGTGCTGATGCTACCGCACAGCAGTGTGATTACCACGCGTTAAGTTAGCACCTTTTATTACAGGTACTAAACGTCTCATAATTAAGGTGCATTAATGCACGTGTAGACATGCCCTTTTGGTATTAACTAGGAACTAGCTTGTCTTAACATCTGTGGTCTCATTTTACCCTGATGTACACTGGGACTTCAGTCAAACTGCTTCTCATTTACATTTAGAAAGGAGCAGAGAACTGGGCCTCTTGGCTTTTCTATTAACAAGTAAATACATTTCTTCATCCCCTTCAAAACAAGACATTCCTGTAGCAAAAGAACCATTGGATTCCATGGGTGCCCTTTGGAGGCTAATTTAATGGGAAAAAATTCAGAGATAAAGTGAAGTCCCGGCAGCTCAACAAACCACGAGTATTTCTTAGGCTGAAATTTCAAGCCATTTACTTTTTTCCTTAGAGGATGCTGGAAGAACCAGTGCTTCAACAATAATTAACTTCTCCAGGATTGTTAGTGTTTCTGCAAGAACCATCCTCCAAGTCTCTAATTATAGATACGGAGTACAATATCCCGGTGTTTGGTGACCTTTTAGAGAAGCACTTACTTCAGTTTCAGGTACCTGAAAATACTAGGTGGGGAGGGAAAGGAGATACAGCAGACCCTTGAAAAGAAACAGAGCACAGCAGTGGGGCACATTGTGGCACCTTGCCTTCTGCACTTGTATTCCAGACTATACATGTTCCCCTAGAGAGAAATCTCTTCTTATCTGTGAAGCAGAAGAGTCTGCTTATAGAAAACAAGAACTAGATAAAACCTTATTTAGCAGGAAAGGAATTTACATTTCCCTTCTTGTACAAGTTCATAGCACAAGAATCTAGGATTCTTGGCACTGTAATTTCATAGATTTCATAGAGTTCATAGACATTAGGGCTGGAAGGGACCTTGGAAGATCATCGAGTCCAGCCCCCTGCCCAAAGGGCAGGAAGTCAGCTG